GACCCTCATTTCGTGCGAAAGGGTTGCTCCAGGACAAGTAAAATCGCAATTTTACCTTGGTTTTTGCGCATCGACCCTCATTTCGTGTGAAAGGGTTGCTCCGGGACAAGTAAAATCGCAATTTTTCGTCAGTTTTTGACGATCGACCCTCATTTCGTGCGAAAAGGTTGACGTTTCGTGACTCCCCGCCGGCACCACCCTCAGCCTAAAGAGAGAAAGATAAAGAAGGCGAGAGAGAGAAAAGGGAGGGAGAAAGGAGAGAGAGAAAGGAGAGAGGAAAGAGGAGAGAGAGAGACAGAGAAAGGAGAGAGGAAAGAGGAGAGAGAGTGAGAGAGAGGGAGAGAGAGAGAAGATGTGAGTATGTGAAGATGTGAGTGCGAGAGAAAGAAAGAGAAGATGTGAGTATGTGAAGATGTGAAGATGTGAAGATGAGCAGATGTGAAGATGAGAAGATGTGAAGATGAGAAGATGTGAAGATGAGAAGATGTGAAGATGAGAAGATGTGAAGATAAGAAGATGTGAAGAGGAGCAGAAGTGAAGATGAGCAGATGTGAAGATGAGAAGGTGTGAGAGAAGGTGTGAAGATGAGAAGGTGTGAAGATGAAAAGGTGTGAAGATGAGAAGATGAGATACAGACCCCCACTATTGGAAGAACCCTGCGCCCAGACGCTCTCGGGAATTAAACAATAAAAAAGATTCGAAAAATTGGAGCTCTCAAGTTTTGAATTTTTCAATTATTTTAATTATTTGCCAATTTTAAAAGGAAACAATTGAACTAATTAAAAAGTTTCAAAAATAAAAAAACGGAGCTCCGGTTTTTTTCATTTTTCCACTTATTTGATTTATTTTCTAATTTTAAAAGGAAATAATTAAAAAAAGGAAAAAAAAATAAAAAAAAATAGAATTAAATTAATTGGTTTCACTGAATAAAACTTTAAAAGGAAACAATTTAAAAAAATAAAAAATCGGAGCTCCCAAATTTTTTGATTTTTTCAATTATTTTAATTATTTGCCACTTTCAAAAGGAAACAATTGAATAAAATCAAAAAATTAAGAAAATCGGAGCTCCCATTTTTTTTCATGTTTTTTAATTATTTTAATTATTTGCAAATTTTAAAAGGAAACAGTTAAAATAATTTAAAAATTTCAAAAAGTAAAAAAAATCGGAGCTCCCAATTTTTCATTTTGCTAATTATTTTAATTATTTGCCAATTTTGAAAGAAAACAATTGAACTAATTAAAGAAATTAGAAAAATTGGGGCTCCCAAATTTTTGAATTTTTCTGATTATTTGAATTATTTGCTAATTTAAAAAGGGAACGATTGAAATAATTACAAAAATGAAAAATCAAAAAAATCGGAGCTCATATTTTTTTGAATTTTCTAATTATTTTTATTTTTTGCTAATGTTAAAAGGAAACAATTAAAATAATAAAAAAAATAGAAAAATTTAAAACTTTGGGAGCTCCGATTTTTTTAACTTTTTTGCCAATTTTAAAAGGAAACAAAAAAAATAAAAAAAAAATGTTATCAAGTTGTCCAATTCGAGATGAGCTTCAAGAAGGAAGGTCCAAAACAATTATTTTTTTAAAGTTTTTAATTTTTTAAATATTTTAATTGTTTCCTTTAAAAAATTGGCAAGTAATTACAAAAGTTCAAAAAATTAAAAAAAATCGGAGCTCCCAAATTTTGAAATTTTTGCATTATTTAAATTATTTGCCAATTTTTAAAGGAAACAATTAAAATAATGAAAAAAAAGAAAATTAAAAAAATCGGAGCCCCCAAACTTTTTAATTTTTCAAATTATTTGAATTATTTGCTAATTTTGAAAGGAAACAATGAAAATAAATAAAAAATTAAAAATGTTAGAAAAATTGGAACTCTCAAATTTTTGAATTTTTCAAATTATCTTAATTATTTGCAAATTTTAAAAGAAACAATTGAAATAGTTTAAAAAAATCAAAAAATTAAGAAAATCGGAGCTCCCAATTATTTTCATTTTTCGAATTATTTTAATTATTTGCTAATCTACTGAGGTGCATTTAACATAGTCAAATAGTCATCACCTGTTTTCAGCAATCTATAATAAGGATTAGATCACATACTAAAACCCAGCGCTCGGTAGTGCACTGCTAAGGTTGGATCATACTAAAACCCAACAATTGGTAGGGGCTGTTTTGAGGACCAAAAAGAAACAATCGGTAGCGCTCCTGACTGTTCAAAGGACTTAAATAAAATCAACCATCGGTAGCGCTCCCGACTGTTTTAAGGATTGCAACAATACTAAAACCCAACAATCGGTAGCGCTCCCGACTGCTTTAAGGACTAAAAACAAACAATCAATCGGTAGCGCTCCCAACTGTTTTAAGGACTAAAACAAACAATGGTAGCGGTCCCGACTGTTTTAAGGACTAAAACCAAACAATCGGTAGCGCTCCCGATTGTTTTAAGCACTAAAAACAAACAATCGGTAGCGCTCCCGACTGTTTTAAAGACAGTAGACAAACAATCGGTAGCGCTCCCGACTGTTTTAAGGACTAAAACAAACAATCGGTAGCGCTCCCGACTGTTTTAAGGATTGAACCCAACAATCGGTAGCGGTCCCGACGTTTTAAGAATTGAAAAAAACAAATACAAATGAAAATCAGCATCATGCTGTTAAGATAATCACCTTGGCCAGGGGGGGGTCTGTCAGACCCCCCTCTGGCCAAGGTCGGGAGCGCTACCGATGTTGGCTAGCCTCCCCTTTATTATCTTAAATGCACTTGTAATTTTCACTATTTTGGGCTGGCCAAGGTCAAAAGGCATGCCCCATACTACGCAGGGGGGAGGCTGGCCAAGGTCGGGAGCGCTACCGACCTTGGCCAGAGGGGGGTCTGACAGACCCCCCCCTGGCCAAGGTGATTATCTTAACAGCATGATGCTGATTTTCATTTGTATTTGTTTTTTTTCAATTCTTAAAACAGTCGGGAGCGCTACCGATTGTTGGGTTCAATCCTTAAAACAGTCGGGAGCGCTACCGATTGTTTGTTTTTAGTGCTTAAAACAGTCGGGAGCGCTACCGATTGTTTGGTTTTACTCCTTAAAACAGTCGGGACCGCTACCATTGTTTGTTTTAGTCTTTAAAACAGTTGGGAGCGCTACCGATTGTTTGTTTTTAGTCCTTAAAACAGTCGGGACCGCTACCGATTGTTTGTTTTGAGTCCTTATAATAAAACAATCGGGAGCGCTACCGATTGTTTGTTTTTAGTCCTTAAAACAGTCGGGAGCGCTACCGATTGTTGGGTTTTAGTATTGTTGCAATCCTTAAAACAGTCGGGAGCGCTACCGATGGTTGATTTTATTTAAGTCCTTTGAACAGTCAGGAGCGCTACCGATTGTTTCTTTTTGGTCCTCAAAACAGCCCCTACCAATTGTTGGGTTTTAGTATGATCCAACCTTAGCAGTGCACTACCGAGCGCTGGGTTTTAGTATGTGATCTAATCCTTATTATAGATTGCTGAAAACAGGTGATGACTATTTGACTATGTTAAATGCACCCCAGTCTAGAAGGAAATAATTTAAAAAAAATGAAAAATTAGAAAAATTGGAGCTCCCAAATTTTTGAACTTTCTAATTATTTTAATTATTTGCCAACTTTAAAAGGAAACAATTGAAATAATTAAAAAATTAGAACAATTGGAGCTCCCAAATTTTTGAAAACTTTTCTAATTGTCTTAATTATTTACCAATTTCAAAAGGAAACAATTAAAATAATTTTAAAAAAAAAATGTTCTCAAATTGTCCAATTCGAGATGAGCTTCAAGAAGGAAAGTCCAAAACAATTACTTTTTTCATTTTTTATTTTTTTTATTTTTCCTATATTTTTTTAATTATTTTAATTGTTTCCTTTTAAAATTGGCAAATAATTACAAAAATTAAGAAAATTACACAAAATCGGAGCTCCCAATTTTTTTTAATGTTTCTAATTGTTTTAATTATTTGCCAATTTTAAAAGGAAACAATTAAAATAAGTCAAAAAAATTAGAAAAATTGGAGCTCCCAAATTTTTGAATTGTTCTTATTATATCAATTATATTTGTCAATTTTAAAAGGAAACCATTGCAATAATTCAAAAAAAAAATTGGCGCTCCCAAATTCTGTATTTTTTTAATTTTAATTATTTGCAATTTTTTAAAGGAAACAATTAAAATATTTCAAAAATAAAAAAAAGTAAAAACAAAAACGGAGTTCCCACATTCTATCGTTTTTCAAATTAATTGAATTATTTGCTAGTTTTGAAAGGAAACAATTAAAATAATTCAAAAATAAAAAAGATTCGAAAAATTGGAGCTCTCAATTTTTTTTGATTTTTATTATTATTATTTAATTATTTGCCAATTTTAAAGAGGAAACAATGGAAATAATTAAAAAAAATAAAGATAATAAAAAATCGGAGCTCTCAATTTTTTCATTTTTCCAGTTATTTGATTTATTCGCTACTTTTGAAAGGAAATAATGAAAAAAATAGAAATTTAATTGTTTTCAACTTCTGCCTCATTTGCTCATTGAATAAAATTTGAAAAGGAAACAATTAAAATATTTTAAAAAAAAATCGGAGCTCCCAACGTTTTTTGTTTTTCAATTATTTCAATTATTTGCCAAGTTTAAAAGGAAACAATTGAAAAAATTCAAAAAAAAATGGAGCTCCCAACTTTTTGATTTTTTTCAATTATTTTAATTATTGCCAATTTTACAAGGAACCAATTGAAATAATTAACAAAATCGGAGCTCCCAATTGTTTTCAATTTTTGATTTTTTTTGAATTATTTGCTAATTCTAAAAGGAAACAATTAAAATTAAAAAAATAAAAAATCGGAGCTCCCAATTTTTCCCTTTTCTCATTATTTTAAAAGGTGCAGCACGCACACGCTAGGACGGCAAGGCGATCCGGTTTTCCTCAGGCATAGCACATTTGGGTCAAGGCCTAAGGTTCCAGCCGATACGGCCGCGGGCAAAAGACTATGTGACATCACCCAAGGTCAATTGCTGATTCTTCAGCAGGTCTTCTTCTTTGTTAACTTTGGCGTGATGGAAACAACTGATTAGGATCGACGCCGTTGCGCCAATCAATCCCTGTGGGTTGGCCAGATCTTCGTACTGTACACCGCTCTCCAAGCGTCGCCAGGTTCCACCAGTTGGCGAGTCAAATCGGCCAAAGCTACTTCGCACAGGATAATCAGAAGATGCAAAACGAGGCCTTGGAGTCTTAAAAGAACGTGCATTTCGTGCTACCTGGATCACACAATCTTGCTTCTGGTGCCATCCAGTCACATCGCCTAACTGAATCACATGCCTGTACATGGGATCTGCCTCATTCATCTCAATTCCCGGAAGCGCGCTCACTGTCATCTTGGGTTTGCTCACTTTCGTTTTCCCCTGCTTGACAAATGAAGCTTCATAGCAAGCATTCCAGACACACTCTCGCATGATCTTCTGCATATGATCCACTGCCATGTCCTTTGTGCCAGCATCAATGAAGTTATTTTGCGTCGCAGTCCATCGCAACAGCGTGTTGGGACGCTGGAGCATGTACCTCAGCCAAGCAATGGTAAATGCCAGTGACTTTTGACTTCCATAGCTGCTCGTGTCGCTGCCACAACGGTCATAGACGTCTTTCGCGTCCGTCACAACAGTCAAACCAACAGCATCGGTCAGAAAGTCTACGTTGCGCCCAAGAACAGGAAATCCTTGGAACTCTGACACAACACCACGGACAAATTGTCCAATGTCAAAGCTCTCCTCTGCCCCAAGCAATTCAGCGCCATACGTCGATCTGCACACTCGGCTGATGCGGTGGCTACGGCTGTCAACCACCCCAAAGCTTCCAGTCTTGCCAGCCATCCAAGATGAATCGCCCAGCAAAACTATATATGCAGACTGTGAAAACACCTTCTCCAAAGAATCTTCACCCACGCTTCCATCCTGGCGCACATTGCCCAATGACGAATCCGTCACCACCATGACACCGCAGTCCGTGAGGTCAAACGGTTTGAAAACAAGGGAGAAGTCTGAATCTTCTTTGAAGCGTCGAACCAAAGCGTTCGCTTTCACCAAGGTGCTCACTCGAGGCTTTTCGCTCTGCAAAACCGACAAACCATATTGTTGATCAAATCGCACTTGGGTGACTAACCACTGCAGTGAGCCAAGCAAACCACGAAGCTGTTTCAGTTCTGAGGGACTGAGCTCCGAATCTGGTTGTCGACGGCGGTCAACTGGAATGGCTACTGTTTTCATGTTGGAGTGATATTCCTTCATGGACACGGTGGTCGTGCCATCACTGCCTTGCTCAATTCGTTTGCCGCAGTACTGAAAGCTACCACTTTCCAAAGAAACAAAGCCAAGCTCCTCGCCCAACTTGTCAAGGGACTTCATAGCATCTTCATCGCCACCACAAAGCAAATCATCAACATGCGATGCGATGACACCTTTCAAAGCGCCATCATTGCCCCAGAGAAACCAGAGTGCATAGTCCAGATTGGATCGCGTCCAACCCAGTTTCTGCAAAGCTTTTTTCAACCTGAGATACCAACGACGAGGGCTATCAAAAAGTCCAAAAATGCCCTTCTTCAACTTTCCAATGCAGCCAGCTTCAAAAGGTAGCTGAGGCTCGCCATTCGTGCCTTTGGTGTTGAGAATGTAGAGCTCCCGCTCGCCCAATTGGAAAACTTCACCCTTCATGAACGCTGCCTTGATGTCAGCGGATTTCAAACGCCAACCTTTCTTGAACTTGCAAGCTGTGAAGATGAAGATCATGTGCTGGCTAATCCTACTTGCCGTTGGAGCATCTTTGCGGATGTTGTAAGCTTCCAAATCTCTGTAGCCAGGGACAACAAGTCTGGCTGAGGCCCTGACTGGTAAATCTTGAAATCTGGTTCGAAGTCCATCGTTCTTGTCTGTGAAAACCCAACGAGGTTGAAGCAGCCTGTGGAGTTCACCACGAGCTCTCAACGATGCTACCACTCTTTCAGAGGCCTCTTTGCTAAGAAGCTGAACAGCATCGTTTTCTGTCCAAACCTTCCAACCTTGAACTGCTGCTTCTGCATACGCGGGCTCGTCCGCGGATTTCATCTCATGCCACTTGTACTCTTTGCGCGCAGCTTGAACAGCATAGGCCTCATTGTGCCCACAAGGCCATTTCATGCCAAGGGTCTCCATCACCTTCCATTCGGTTCGTGAAGGCAAAGGCCATGATCCGTGCCAAGTTCCATGGTCATGAACTTGACTTTCAAACGGGTCCAACATGTCCAAAGCTGCCAACGCTTGAACTCTGATCAACGGATGACCATTCTTGTTGTTTTCATCCGCCAAGGCTCGAAGCTGGTCACGAGTCAAGCTAAGAGCATCATGAGCATGTGAAGAACCACCAGGCTGTTCAGGAGGGAGTCCAGGCTGAGACGAATGGAGCGTCTCAATTGGAACTTCTGCAGGTCTCTTCACCGACTCAGAAACAGCATCAAGTCTGCGGGCTTCATCCAACATAGCTGCTACACCGCCTCCAACTTCACCACCGCCGGACACTTGTTGCTGAACAGGAACAGAATCACTAGGAACAGAACTCATCAAACTTGAACGTCTCGACCGACTCTCGGAGTAGCTTGCATTCTCTCCAGCGACGGCTGAAGGTGCCGGAGTCGGTCCAGGCTGCAAAGCTGCCGCCAGTGCACTGACAGGGACTGAAGTCAAATCCCCTACAGGCACTGATGCTGCAACAGGAGCTGGAGTCGGCGGTGCAAGTAAAGGTTGAGGAGGAACATCTGGATGATTGGCCAAATCTTGAAGCGCCATCTCAACTGATTCCTCAATTGCATCCCTCCAAGTCTCTGCTGAAATCTGCTCCATAGTTGAAGCTGGTCGCACATGTTCAAGAGCACACTTTGTGAGCTGCCCTTTGAAGCTCAAATAGGCATTTGCATGACCTTCAATTGCAACCAGTAACGCAGGACCATGCCATCGACGAAGGAGAAGTTTCTTCTTGGAGACTCCACCCTTGGGATTGTACTTGCTCTCTCCAAAAATAAACAATGTTGCCTGGTTCCAATCCCATGGTCTGCGTAGAGGTTCGTGAGCGGGCTAATTCACCACGTCGGATTGCCCTGGAAAAATGAAGTCTCAACATGGCCACCTTCGCAGTCTCTCTGAGTGCAATGCGCCGGCTCAAATGAGGCACACTATCAACCAATCCATGTTCTGAAAGTCGATTGTGAAATCCACCAAGCACATCGCCAGTCATGCGAGGTTGTTTGCCTAGTGCTGCCTGGGCAGGACTGACACCCAGCTCATTCACATCATGGTTGTAGGCCGTGACTGCCTCTTGCACTGCCAAACTCATCTCGTCAAAATCAACAATGGAGTGCTTCTTGACGAGTGTAGTGACCAAACACTTCAAAATTCCTCCGCCACGTTCACAAACACCATTCTGCCACGGCGCTTGAACACCTGCATGCCACAAGAGAATGCCGTGTTCACCACAGAACGCCTCAAACTCATGGCTGATGAACTCACGCGCCTGATCCGCCACCAATACCCTTGGGGGTCCAAAGATGGGCAACCAAGACTCCTGCATGAACTTGATGATCTCAGCACTGGACCGATGAGCCAACAACTTGGCCATCTGGAAACGCGTGGCCCAGTCAATGACATGGATGACGTATGCTTGACGTCTTGACAGTCCATGATCTCAACTATGTCCAAGTGGATCTGGTCGCTGGTGTCACGAGGCATTGGAAGAGAGGCTGGCCGTCGTGACTTTGGAGGCTTCTGCTCATCACAAAGAGCGCACTTGTGTTGTTTAGCTGCTGCAACCACCTCTGTTGGAGCTCCTGCCAGGACAAGTGCCCGGGCGAGACGGCGATTGTCTCGATGGCCAGTTGCTTCATGGAGTTTCTTGACAGCTAGTTTCACTCCAGCTGGGATCTTGGAGTGCTTGTCCTCCACCAGTTCCTCTTCCGACTCCGAATCCAAATGCAATTGGGAGCCATGTGGGTCATCCTGATTTGCCATCAGCACTTCCTGAGGGGTCTTGAGCTCATGGACAAACTGCTTCTCAATGCCATCTATGAAGGCTTTTGCAAGGCCTCTGGGGTAAATTCCAGCCGCGGAGGTGATCTTGCTTCCGCCCATGACGGGGCGATGCTCATGGTCCTGCCCACATCGAAGTCCGTCGAGAATCCGCGCAATCATCTCAGACGAGGTGATGATGCACGTGGGCTTCTTATGGAGATTGCCCTGGCCGTCAGAAAGTCCAAGACGGCATTGATCGAATTTGGCCTCAAAGGCATGAAGTTTGCGCAGGGCTTCTTCCATCTCAGGCAAAGTCCAAGCCTTTGATGAAAGCGGATTCTCCAAAAGGAAATGTCTCCCTTGTGACTGTTGCAGTTTTGCTAAATCCAAAGCGAACTGCAGGAGCACACGACCTTCACGGCTGTTTCTCTGCCAAGTCCAAAGAAGGTCGGAGGTTCATGAGTGCACTCCAAGGGCCACAAGGGAAAGCTAGGACCAGAAGATATGGCTGCTCTTCCATCGCAGCCTTGCGGTGAGAAGCATTCAAGAAGTCCCAGCCAGTCTCAAGAGAAAGAGCTGATCCAACACCATGGCCCCTTCTACGAGCTTCTTTCATGACATTCTGAGAGTTGGTGTAGATCTCTGAGACTATCACGCTGGGGAATTCGATGGATGACACAAGGACTTCATTCTGTCCAGCTGCCATAGTTTGTTGCCATTCCGCCTCCATGACCTGTCGAAGCTCTCGAGCTGTTGTAGAAACTTTCTTTCGATCCAAGACGTGTTGATTCCAGGCCTGTGCAATCAAAGTGGCTTGGCCTTTCTTCAAGTCTTGGTGAACTCGCCACTCATTCACGATCCCGTCTCCGGCTCCATGGGGGTGTCCTCCGCCTGCCCTAGGAAGGGTTGGCCAGTCTGCACTGCATACATCACGTGGTGCATGGTCTGTTGAAGCATGCTTTGAAATCTGGCCTCTTGCTGACTCATGAGGTTGTTGAGCACTTCTGGAGTCACCGTCTCCTTTTCTGGGGAGCTGAGATAGGACCAGTGGCTGTCTGTCGATGGAGATGTTGGCTTCTGCTTGGGAGATGCCGGTGACGATGCTTGGGCTGTCGCTGAGCTCTTTGCCTTGGCTGGAGGTCGACCGTCCAACTTCATAATGGCGATCATTGGCTTGATCTTGCCCTTCAAGACTTCCACAGTGTCCTTGGGGTCCACCTCCACATCCAAGACATGACAAAGCTTCACGAGGTCGGCCTTGAGACTTAAGGAAGACCGCCTCGAGGACCAAGGATGCTGCGAACTGCTTCCTCCGACTGACCCTTCTGAAGGATTCGCTCGGCCTCTTGTTTGGACTCGGCCAGAGCTGCCGCCTTGAGCTTCGCAGTCACTCGTTTGGAGTGTCTTGCCAACAGCATTCCTTCCAACATCGGATCTTCCACGAATGAGTGTTCCCATCCAATTCTGTCTCGAAGCACTCGCACTTCTTGGAGATTCTGGGCCGTAAAGGCTTTGAGTTGACGTGCTCGGATGAGGTGCTTCTTTGACATAGAACGGTTGGTGACCATGAGATCCGCTTGAAGCTCCCATTGATCTACTCTCCCAACCGAAGGATATGGGTATGGCACATAGCGCAACCACGGTCGCCGCAAGAGCCAGAGCAGAAGGCCGTAAACGTGCCATTGAGCTCGGACGAAGGAACGTTTGACCATTCGTTCCCATCTTCGAAGGCATTCGGCGGGTCCCATTGCCATTGGTCCTCACAAAAAAAGATGCCTTCTGAGACGAATAGGTGTCTCGCGAATTGAAAGACGTTGGGCTGTCTCGAGCCATGTCTGCAATTGAATCTTGAACCTTCATGCCCGACATCGAAATGTCCGCCATCTTCTCAGCATGCTCGGTGATCAAATGCTCATGTGAAGGCTTTGATGAAATTCTACATGCTTGCAAACGACGCTTCAACCACTCACTGCCAGAAACTTGACATTCCAAAACGCCATCAACACCCAACTTTCTCCACTTTTGCGCACCTGGAGCTGGCCAGCAGCTTGGCAGCAATTGGAGCGCAAAGTGACCTGCCATCAGCTGACGAAGCCGAATGTGAGAACCATCCAAATGATCAGCTCGAAGAATGCGGCGTGAGAAACTTAGCACAGCACCTATTGCATCTAAGAAATCTCGTCCCAAAAGAAGTCCAAGGGATGGAACATTGACCACTGAAGTCCAAATACACACCAAAGTACTTCCTACCATCATGGGTAAACGCCACCTTCGAACAGATTGCTGAGTGCCACCATTACCAAACCGAAAAACTTCAGATTCAGGTTCACTGGAAATAAGGTTCTGGATGAAATCAGGTGCTTGTTTGAGAGCATCTAAATAACCCTGCAGCCACGTAGAACCCGTACATGTTCTGTTGCAAGCACTGTCTAATGCACCGACTATAGCTTCTTGTCGGACATCAAATGGGGGCCACCAGAAACATGAACTTCATGGGAACCACATGACAAAGCAGCGGACAAAGTTTTGCCACCAGCGCTCTCAGCCATCTGAATCTCATGTTCTCCTCCAGGAGTCTCGCTAGAGCCAACTGCTTCTGTGATCTCTGTCGCATGGCTCTCAACGATCTTGACTTGCTTGTGCTTTTTCTTTCCAGGAGGCAGAAACAATCCAGCGCCTTTGCTGGGACAAGCTGCGTCACCCATCCAGTGTCCAGTCTGACCGCAATCCCAACATGGATACTTGGGATCCTGCTTACGTCCTTGAACTTGATTGCCAGATGGTTTGGACTTGGGACCATCCTTTCCACCACCTTTGCCTTGATTGCCATATCCACGGTCTTTGCGAACTTCATTGAGTTTGTGACGGGCTTCTCTCATAGTCAACAAGCTCTCTGCTGCCTTCTCCACATTCATCTCTAACTCGTCAATGACATCAGGTTCGATGCCCTCTTCTTCGGCCAACTGAAGTTCACTTGCAAGCACCTCCACTTCGGCCTGCAACACTTCCTCTAAGTTCGGCACAACTGCCTCACTCTGCATGACTTCATCTGGAATCATCTCTTCTTCTTCTTCGGGCTCTTCATCATGAACCTCGGTGACCATGGACTGCCGAGGACAGGATGCCGCCGAAGGAGGACGGCGAAATCTGGAACTTGCAAATGAAGATGGAGCCGCTGACGATTGAGATCGGTCTGCCCTCAAACGAGCTGCTAACGCTGAAGCGCTTGAAGGAACTGAGGATCTGAAAGTTGTTGCTGAACTTCCGCTGGACTGTCCTAAGAAACGACTCAGCACTGGAGACCTAGCTTCAAAAGGACGACGATGCAAAGGATCTGCAGTGTGAAGCCCACGAAACAAACGCAAACACTCAGCTTCCACATCAGCGTACGACTCACGGCCTGCTAAAGCCGTCTCAAGGAGTTGTTTTCTGAGTGCATCTAGGCCCAAACGCTCGCGTAGAAACCAGCCTAACTCAGTCTCCTGAATGGTGATACCTTCACGTTTCATCTCACCACACAAGGATCTGAAACGAGTGCAGAAATCAGTGATTCTCTCGTTTGGCTGTCTCTTCATCTCCGAATAAAACTGTGAGCGCAAATCACCTTTACGATCCAGTTCAGTGGTACCATTCAAAGTTTCCAAAGAGGCTAACAACTTGCGCAAGCCTGCAAATGGATCTCCTTCTTCCACCACCAAGGTCTCACCAGTTTGAGGATCTTTGACAGTGACTGCTTTCTTGCCCTCCAGCTCTTCAGGGAGATACTCTTCACAACGTGCCCTGACAACACCTGATTGCCTAAGCATCCAACGTGCTGCCGCTGCCACATTGAACTTTGAACAGCTGTCAGAATCTAATGAAGCCATCCACCATGACATCTCTTTCTGAAATGAGCGCCAGGAACGAGGATTACCATCCCAAACAGGGACACGATACCAAGCTGATGTGCCCTTCTCATCTTCTGCAGTAGCCATGACTAAATCAGTGACAGTACAGCAGCTTCCACGCAAAATGCGCGGGTGTGATACTTCGAATTCTTTCAAACAACAAACCTTGCTCTAAACTGGTTCCTTAAGACAAGCCAGCCCAAAAACAAGGTAAAAGCAAAAGGTTGTTTGGCCACCCAATCACCAAGCCTTGACAGTACGCAGCACTGCTCAATGCCAGGAAATCCAATGACCAAAGTCGGGGTTCAAATCCAGCGGAGTTGCGATAGCGTTGCCAGGCCACAAAGATCGAAATGAGGCTCCGGTGCCACTGGAGTTGCACAATCGCTAGCACGGCAAGGCGATCCGGTTTTCCTCAGGCATAGCACATTTGGGTCAAGGCCTAAGGTTCCAGCCGATACGGCCGCGGGCAAAAGACTATGTGACATCACCCAAGGTCAATTGCTGATTCTTCAAAAGGAAACAATTGAAATAATTAAAGCAATTTAAAAAAGTAGAAAAATTGGAGCTCGCAAATTTTTGATTTTTTCAAATTGTTTGAACTATTTGCCATTTTTAAAAGGAAACAACTGAAATAACTTAAAAAAATCAAAAAATCGGAGCTCCCATTTTTTATCCTTTTTCAAATGATTTTTATTATTTGCTAATTTAAAAAAAATAATTTAAAAAATTGAAAACAAAATAAAAATTAGAAAATTTGGAGCTCCCAAATTTTTGAATTTTTCTAATTATTTTAAGCATTTGACAATTTTAAAGGAAATATTGAAAAAATCAAAACAAATAAAAAAGCAAAAAAATAAAAAAACTAATTGTTTTCAACGTTTGCCTCATTTTTCGCTCATTGAATAATTTTTAAAAAGGAAACAATTTAAAAACATTGAAAAAAATAAAAGAAATGAAGCTCCCAAATTTAAATATTTGCCAATGTTTAAAGGAAACAATTAAAATAATTCAAAAAATAAAAAAAATAAAAATTGGAGCTCCCGAATTTTTTAATTTTTCTAATTATTTCAATTCTTTGCCAATTTTAAAAGGAAACAATTAAAATAATTAGAAACAAATAAAAAACTAGAAAAATTGGAGCTCCCAAATTTTGATTTTTTCTAATTATTTAAAATTATTTGCAAATTTTAAAAGGAAATAATTAAAACAATGAAAAAAAATTAAAAAAAATAATAGTTTTCAAATTTTGCCTCATTTGCTCATTGAAAAATAGTTGAAAAGGAAACAATTAAAATAATTAAAAACACAAAAATTAAAAAACTGGAGCTCTCAAATTTTTGAATGTTTCTAATTAATTTCATTATTTGTCAATTTTAAAAGGAAACAATTGAAATAATTTGAAGAATAAGCAAAGATTAGAAAAATTGGAGCTTCTAAATTTTTGAATTTTTGAATTATTCTAATTATTTGCCAATTTCAAAAGGAAACAAAATAACTTAAAAAATAAAAAATAAATAAAAAATCAGAGCTCCCAATTTTTTCATTTTCTTTATGTATTTGCCAATTTTAAAAGGAAACAATTAAAATAATTAAAAAATAAAAACTTAGAAAAATTGGAGCTTCAATTTTTTTAAAATTTTCTAATTATTTTAATTATTTGTAAATTTCAAAAGGAAACAATTGAAATAATTTAAAAAAATAAAAATAAATAAAAATCGGAGCTCCCATTTTTTTTAATTTTTCAAATTATTTTAACTATTCGCTAATTTTAAAAGTTTTTTTTCTAATGTTTTCAACTTTTGCCTCATTTGCTCCTTGAATATTTAAAAAAAATAAAAAATCGAGCTCCCAATTTTTTTAATTATTTTTTATTATTCGCCAATTTTCAAAAGAAACACTGAAATTAACGAGTTTTCAATTATTTTTCATTAAATATCGTATTTTTCCATGAGTTTTTCAAGGAAACGTGGCCGCATCACATAGACCCTAAAGTTCCCTCATACGGACCACCATCTGGGGGGTAGCCGGGGGGTAGCCGGCCTGGGGGACCATACCATCGGGGGGGGGTACCGGACCGCGGACCGGGACCATATATATATATGTATATGTATATATATATATACCACTTTGACTAAAATCATATATGTATATTATATATATATGTATTCAGGGACAAGAGCCTCTCGACACAATCGAAACAACAAGTAGCTTCTGATCGAGCCCAGCTCTTGCAGTATTCGCGTTTTCACCGGAGTATGTTCCCAAAGCCCAAGTCACAAAGTTCTAAGGGTGGTATATTGAAAAGTTTATGGCTGTGTGTGTGTGTGCGTCGTCTTTCTGCCACTTTCTCTGAAGTCTGGTTACAATGCCTAAGCCATAGTCAATCCAAGTCGCTTTCGCGTGAGAGTCGTGCCGATACTGGGTTTGCTGACTCCTCCTTTGATGCTGTTTTTTTCCTGAGGCGGCTTACTTGGGAACACACTTCCATCTTGAGGGTCAGAAATCGGCGTTGGAATGTGCAACAGGCTTCCCCAGGCCCTAGGCTATTGCAAATGCCAACAAGGCAAAATGTTGCAGTTCCTCTCATGATCTTTCGTTCCCAGCCAGTAGCTTTGTCTCGAGGCTTGGGTTCAGTCTTGGATTCAAAAACATTCTGTTTAAGTAACACTGTGCAAGCGACGACACTGTCAACAAACATCGGTTCCTGGACGATATCTGCCCTAAAGTATATAAGGATCCCTGAGGATCCCTGAGGTGCGAACAGTCGCTTTCTCGTCGTTATTTGGTGATGGATCCTGCTGAGCACAAAGTAAACAACTGTGCACTTGTCCGTATGCGTACACGAATATCTGCATACACACCTC